CCCTTGACAGGATGATTTTTCACTTTCCTCCTGCCTCTTTTCTACTCTCAGAAAGATGCAAGACCCTTAAAGCTAAAAACAGTTGCCACAGAAACAGAGAAATTTATTTTTTGGTCTGGTCTTAGTCTTTGATCTTAGCTTAGTTTAATGTCAGAATACTGCGAGCTGGAGTCCTAGCAAAGAGTCTAATGATCTCCCTGCCGTCTGCTCTCACAGCAGCATGATCTCGCAGTGATAATTTCCTTTACATTTGCAAAGGCATTTTTTGTATACCAGTAGAGAATGGAGGTTCAAAGCAATGTTCTCAGGTGTTGGCTTTTGGGGGGGGGGAGGGGGTTCTGTACCTATGCAGAGTTAATAACCAGTCTTGTTTCATAGTACATACTCATTCTAGGCTGGACTATGTCCAGATTCCTGATTTTAATTGAAAGTTTTTATAGATATTAGATTCTAAAATGGGCTTTTGGTACAAAATTCTACTAAAGTCTCTCCAATCTGATGTTTGGCATATACTTTTTGAGCTAGCCAGCAACACAGCTACTGCTTATGTTCTTAATTTTTCTTTTTTTTTTTTTTTTTTTTTTCCTTTTTCCGGTTGAGTAGATTTTGACGGGAATTGCTGCAGTAAGACCACTATAGAAATTAAATTAGCTGTTCAAAATTCTAGGAATTTAACCCTAATTTACATTTTCTGTTTTCGAAGAGACAAGGTTGGGGACCCACTGCTGCAAAACACAGCTGCTGCTTCTACTCTTGTCGGTGGCTCTGCAGAACAGAATAGTTCTTCTGGCTCTCTGAGCACCTGGCACAAGACCACAAAGAGTTCGATGGCACTGCATTTATCAAGGGGGAAGAGACTCATTGCTGTTTCTCTCTGTGCCTGCTTGGCAGATTGCAAAATAGGAGGGGACTTTGCTGTTGGCATCGGAGAGCTTACAGCTTGTGTGAATGTTATCCTGGGTATTGCTCGCAGTGAAATAGCCCTCTTGTCATCATTATGAAGGGCATGTTCTTGGAAACAGCACCGCTTTTTAATGGTTGCAGTTAGAAATAATAGTTGGATTTGTAACCTGATTTAACAAAAAAAAGCCCCCAAAATAAAAAACCCAAACCCAACTCTATGAAGAAATTTTAGTTTTAGTAGTGGACAAATACATTTGTACTGGTTGTGTAGCAAATTGGAATAAACGTTAGTATTTTCTTTTTATAATATATTTACACTAGCATTAATGTAACTTCATACTACAAATGAGAATTTTGCTGTCTGTTCTGGTGATTTATACTCTACTCTTAAAGCAATTCTTTTTTGAAAGCAGATGGCTCCTTTTCATGGATCTGACTTGCAGGAATTATGCTGAAACAAGATTAACGAATCCGTATAGAATATGAATGATGAAATGAAGACAAATACTCATCTCCCTACTTCTTCTTCAATTTCTCTTGAATAACTACTTATATTTCCTTGGTCAAATGGCAATTCCAAAATGCAATACAAACTGTTAATAAAATTAGATACATTTTCTTTTAAAGAGGTCAGGTGAATCATATGACCCACATTCATAATTTCTGCCAGTTACCTTCCCAATTTTATTAATATTGTTCCTAATTTGCACGTAGGAACATCTGGAGAAGGTATCCATGGGAAGCTGTTGCTCTGATGTCTTTTTTTTTAGGTTTACAGAGAGTTATGAGGTGGAATTGAACTGAATTTGCTGTCTGTTAAGTCCAATGTGTTTTCTGAGATCAGTCTTATGCACGCAGACTTCCCACGCAGTTCTGGGCACTTTGCGACTGATAAAGCTTTGTTTTGGTGGGAGGGAAAAGAACGCAAAAAAGCTGTTCTGAGGAGTAAACCAAAGGTCTGTCTAACCCAGTCATCTTTTTTTACAGTGGCCCATAGTGGATGCCTAGGAAAAAGGATGACAGTAGGGCAAGCAAAAATAGTGACTTTCCCCATCTGTATGCCAACTTTCAAGCCCTCTCTGGCTTGAAGGCTCTCCGAATCAGAGGTTCTGTCTTGGTGTTTAAGGCTGTATCCTTGTGTTTGCAGGCTGTGAGTTGTGCTAGCATGAAAACTGACTTGTTTTCTGACAAACAATTTGTCAAAGGCATTTTTCAATATTTGGGGGTAACATGTAGCCTATTGCCAAAAAAACCATCTCTTGGAATACTGCTGAACTGTTGGGCTCTGGTCAGCTGATAGAACAATAAAATTCTTCACATGGTGAAGTAGTTAAAACACGTTGCCCTTCTAAATCTATTTTTAAAAATATGGTGTTTTCCGGGATTAACTGCAGAATTTTTGTTGGTTTTATTTCTGGTTTCCCTAGATGTGTCTTCTCCTATGCCTTCCTCACCCATATCAAAAATAGGAAAAACTGTCTCTATCCTCCATAATATTATTTACATTTCCCTGAAATACTTTTGATTTATTTTCTTAAAAATTGTTTGGATTCAGAGCTACTTTGAAGTCTCCATGTAAAGTCACTAACTTGATTGATGTTTTCAAGGCTCTTCAAGAGGCAGTGGCTGAACAATTACAGTTCAAAAATTTGATTCTTGCTCTTTAATATGATCAAAAAATATTATTTTTTTCCTTTTGTTTAGCATACTGAGATGAACCCCAGTCCAAAGGACTTTGGGCGGCTAGAAGCTACATTTTGTGATGCTGAGTCTTTTTTTTCAGCTGAAGTGTCCACTGTAACTTTTCAGATAAATATCCCTGTCCAAATCCCTCTGTTTCTGCTAGTTCTGTCAGTCATTTGCCTTAAGTGTAAGATTTTGCCCTAATTCAGTTACCTAGTTTTGAGTTACTCTAGATTTGATCTCCTTATTTTCCCGTTTCCAAATCAAAATTTTATCTGTAGATTAGTTATTCCCCTTCAACCTGTGATTCTTTATAACTATTCTGCATGGGAGTATTGTTTGTCTTTTTTTGTTATGGTCTTCAACATTTTACCTTTTTCCATTTAAGAGATTCCTCCAGTGCTAGCTCTGAGACATCTTTTATTGTTATGCATTTCCAGCATAAACCATAAACCAACATTGTTTGTTACCTTTTTTTTTTTTTGTGAGAGAAGTTCCTTCGCAGTAGACACTGTTAAGTGGAGTGGAAAAACAAAATTTGTACGAGTGGGAGAATGTTTTGCTGTTGACATAATTTTTTTTTAATGATGTGGTATTACCATTGCGTTATACAGTGGAAATATAAATTGCTTCATTAACCTCTTAATCTGTGTTCAGGTTTTCACTGATGATGTATTAGTGTTACATTAGTTTTCTGCCTTCCTTTCACCTCTTTAAATAAAGTATTATTCTTTGCACTAACAGTTTGTTTCCTAGACCAACTAACTATTTTTCTGTAATACATTTTAAAAAATAATTTCATGTATGTCTCTTCATTGTTCTCTTGTTACTGTTATCTGTTTCTTACTTTAACTCTTCCTTATTTATTGGAATTGGCTTATTTTGAGTTTCACTACCACTCCTGTGAAGTCTGTAGTGGTTTTGCTAGCTTCTTGCTCACCTAATTTTGAAATCTCAGGGATTTTTGGTCTGTTGTTATTCCCCTGCCCAAGTCCATCACGATCATACAGTTCAGCAAAATGTATTTCAGAAAGGAGCACTGACCTGTTCCATTTTATAAAAGTTCAGGCAAAATTGATAAGTAGCTTGGACATGCAGTCTAAATTTAAGCATGTCTATGAGTATTATCATGTCAATGGAACCTAAGCACGTGCTTTAAGTTAAGCACATATATTTAAGTGTTGCCTTACTTTGATCAGGGTTTTCTCAGCTAGGAGCAAGTTCCTATGTGCAAATATGCAGCATACTGTTGGCTCAGTCCTTGATAAAATAAGATTTAATCATTCTTGTTTAGATTATATTTATATTTGACAAAAATGGAGAAACAAAACCACCGATGACAGTTTGACAGTTGTTTTGGGGGAGATGAGAGGAATGGTGCATGTTTAAGTGAAATTCAAAGACTGGTCAATGACTAGGCCAACAGAACTTTATGCTTGTTTTCTCTTAAATAAGATTATAATATTTTGTGATAAATGATGACTAATCTGGCATCTCATAAGTGGAATGCTTCTCCATTTCCTGGAAAGTTTCTGTTATGAGTGTGCTGCCACTTTAAAGATCATATTTTATTTTGTTTTCTTCTAATGCTTTCTCAGGATTGCTTTTAGGTTTTAATAACCTCTCTAATGCAGAAAATCTGGGGGTTTTTTACAATGTGCTTGTTTCACGCATGTGTGCATGCATGTATGTTGTTATAATCTAATAATATGCATCTAATTATATGTAATTATATGTGTGTATATATATGTAAAAACTTCACTACAAAACTACATGTGCTGGGTGTCATAATTTAATTTCTATATACCAATAATCTGTTTTAAAAGCTATTGTTTTATGTGGAATCACAAATACAAAATTGAATTAGAAATTTATGGTACATAGTCTGAATGAATAGTACAGTGGTCTGAAGTTACAACAGGGCAGGTTTAGGTTGGACATTAGGAAAAATTTCTTCACAGAAAGGGTTATCACGCACTGGAATGGGCTGCCCAGGGAGGTGGTTGAGTTCCCATCCCTGGAGGTATTTAAAAGAAGGATAGATGAGGTGCTTAGGGACATGGTTTAGAGGTGGGATGGCGGTGTAGGTTAATGGTTGGACTTGATGATCTTAAAGGTCTTTTCCAACCTAGACGATTCTATGATTCTATTCTATGATTCTATAGTGAAAATAGGATTCTTATGAAAATAAGCTAAACTATATGTGTTTATATTCAAATTGTGAATTACTGTAAATAGAAAAACTACGGAGTAGCTGAGGCTCAATGGGGTTCTAGTATGCTATCCATGTTGTACATGTCACAAGAAATAATTATTTACACCTCTATTACTAACATTTGGAAATTGTATTATGCTGTTCCTCTCTGTGCTTCAAGCTCTATAGAATGATATTTTTCTTTTTACTTTTTTTCCAGCACTTGGTACTAGCAATGAAGTTTATCATGGCGTTTGTAATTCCGGATAAACCAAGAGATATCCAGATGAAACTAGCCAAATTGGAATTTGAATCTCTAGAGGCTCTCAAACAACAGGTAAGAACAAATGACATGTATAACAGTGAAATGTGTTGGTGGCCTGAAGGAAAGATAAACTAGGGAGATTCTGCTTTTGTTTTAGGTGATAAATATGTAAATCTGGGGATTTTGAAGTACTTGTTTACATTATATTAAGATTATCTAGCTAAAGCTGTTCCACTTCTGCCTCGCAGGTTGCAATAGCAGAGCTGGGGTGGCTGAGTGGAGCATGGAACAGTCATGAGTAGTACAGTGTACAGCACAGGGTATCAAATAAATAGAAAACAGTGCTGGTTTACTTCTACACATTGGGTTGTAAGCTATAGCATTTCAGATACTGCTTCATTTTCTGTTAATCCATCACTGCTGAAGAAGTGGAGAAGAGAGCTGGAAGTTGTAACCGATTCATCTGTCCTTTCAACCCACCGATGTACGTGAATCAACACCAGGAAAATGGTCTTCCTTTTCAGACAGCTTGAAATTTCTGGTGTGACTAGTAATGTGGCAACTTGTAATGCCTGTTGTCCTTGGGTGTGCAAATATGCTTTGTTTATATTGTCACTTTTAGAGGACATTGGGCTCTGTGAAACCTAGTTTCATCCCCTGGAGGTGTTTGTTGTTGCAAGGCTAGGATTTCTTTCATTGCTGAAATACCATCACAAATAACTTAGCTCTAACATAAACAGAGATTGTAAACAGACGGAACTTTAAAAAACATTTGGGAGCAAAGTATGTACGAGGGAAAGGTGGTGTTGCCTTATTTTCCTGTCCATACAATATTCTCATTTTATTGCATAAATAAGGTATATTTTTACAATACACTTAGGCATTCCAAAGCAATTTAGGAAAATCAGGAACTAGATTTTTCTACTGAAAATTTTTATTTTAATAAACGATTCAATGGAGAGAGTAGTGGAGATCACAAGAGGTGAAGAATCAGATTGGCTTCAGTAGGATACTGGGGTTCTACAGAGCTGGTTTCTCAATGGCAGCATACTTTAGGAGTTTCTGACTGTACTATGCTGGGTAGGATTTCTAGGCTAGCTTACATATCAGAAAAAAAAAACCAGCATGGAGTTGCAGAGACTGGTTCATCTATTTATTGTTAGCTCAGATATTTTTACACTGCGGTGCATGGTTTTATATGAACATATTCTTTGTATGCAGGTGTGTAACCTCCTCTATACTGTTTTTTTTGTGTAGAACTGGAGATTACTTTTTAAAACATCTACCACATAGCTGCATTTGACAAAATGATCTCTTGATTCTTGACAAGCTGAGCCTGTAAACAATACACTGACTCTTCTAGTTAAAATCCCACAGTTTTGTGTGATGCTAGAACATCGCTATTGAGGTCAGCACTGTCTTCTGTAAGCAGCCATAGCAAACAAAAACCAAATTACAATTGAATCTAATGCCCGATAGTTTTGTTTTGCTCTTCTCTAGTATGTCAGTGTGAAGTTTCCAGGAACTGGTCATGAATCTCATGTACTTTTTAGATAATATTAAAAGGAACAGGACTACATTTCTATTTTAGTTGTTCCTTATATGTTTTCATTTTGTAGACAGGCAAAACTAGGCCATCCACTGGAACCTTAAGCTCAAGTGAATACAGTCACCTTTGGTTATAATGTGCCAACTGGAATATATACAGAGTCTTTTTCAATATGAGTGTGCATGTTGGCAGTTAGGACTTCATCTCCTATCCTTGTGTCCATGCATTCCCTACAATAATACATCCCCGATCGCCAGTTCTTCAGGGTTGCTTCATTAATTCAATAATGAAAAGTTAGTCTGAATTTCAGTAAGAACCAGAAGCCTGGCAGTTCTCACCTAATACTTTGAGTCTTCCTACAGGATTCGGGAAGAATATTGGCTGGCTTTTAGGTGCCTTGGTAGGTACTTTATCACAAGTATCCTTTTTAGATTTCCTCTGATTGATACTGTGCTATGTATCCCATAGGCATACAGAGATGTGGGCTTTTTTTCTGGTGCCTTAGTTCTTGAATGAAAAAATCTGCATTTAAAAGTAATACATTGGCAATGCAAAAAGATAGTGAAGCATTTATTTTAGAAGCACACTTTCAAGTTCTTCCTCTTGTTACTGAGAGTCATTACGGTAATTTAAGCTGTATATCTTTCAAATAATAAAACCAACAACACCCCCCCCCCCAAAACAACTGTTAAAAAGAAAGAGACAAAAGTCTGGGGCAAATGTGTTGTGGGATCATGTGTTACAGAGGAACTGGTTAATATACTTTTGTGCAAGTATTGCGTCACGTTCCTCTCTTGATCCTATCCATTGCATCCTTGATGCATGCCGTTGTGTTTTACCATGTGAGCTTTTAAACTGCTGCTGTCTTGGGATGTAGCTATTAGAAGGGTATTAACACTATCAGACTGTAAACCTCTAAGATGCCAAAATAGATTATTAGACTTCGTATATGGTACATGGAGAGAAAATCTCCTAATACAGCTGCTTTGAACAGTTGTATTGATTATGCTTGGGATCCCTAACTTTAGACAGTGTGAGCACCTTTACATTTTCATTCATGCTAAGCTAATTGCTTTTTAACCTAGTGCAGTGGGACTGTAACTGTTCCATGTTCAAATCCATTTGAAGACTGAGTTAGTGTCTATTTGAAAGGGATTTTAGGGAATACAGTGTCTCAGCTCCCTAATAGAGATGAACAATCATCATTAGAACTCATTAAAACCACCTATATGGTAAAAAATTCCATAATTAAAAAAAATCACTTTATATTGGAATGACAGTCTTGTTTTGAAGTTCTCAAACTTTAAGAAAGGTTTTTAGGAAGTTCTGAAATGTTTCTTTTAAACATTTATTTACACAGTTTATGTTAAGACTGTTGAAAGGGAGTGGACTGTTGAATGGGTTGTAATAATTTGATCTCTTTTGAAAATACTTTGTTATGATACACTTGGAAGTATGAGAACAAAGTTTGTTGACATAACTCAAGACAAAATACTTTACCCTTTCTGAATCCAAATTGGGGAATGTACTACATCTGTAGACTTCGCTTCAAATTTCACTGATGTCCATCAGTGTAAAGGGTGGTAGAGAAGGCTGGTTAGACTCTATTTTGGAGGCGGGGGCTGGGGCAGTGAATAAAGTAATGTGAACTTGTTAATAGAGGAGAATAAAGAGAATATGGATCAAGATTTTTGGAAGAGTAGCAGGAGCGATTGCATTCACACTCCCTAAAGTGTTGTCAGTTTGTTTGTCACCCAGAAGGAAGCCTGGATGCTGGGCAACTAGAAGTGGGTACTGTCTACTGCTAGGGTGGTGGACCCTTTTCTGGTGAACATCATGATCCTCCTTAGGCGAATAGCGAGCTAGTAAATTGGAGTGAGGTGCCTAAGACTCCCCTCACTTCTTTGCAGTACTCTGCATCTATTTCTTGCAAGTACAGAGAAGCGTGCCATGCTCTTTGGTCTAGTTCCTATTTTAAGGATGAGAGACCAAGTATAGGTGTGCCTGCAAGCAGCAAGGGAACAGTCGGATAATTCTTCAGTGGTTTGGGAATTACCATAGGCAAAGGTGAGGACCAATGCTGTGGAACTAGTGTGAGGACACTACCTAGCATTTTCGGGGCAGTGACGGTGAAAGCTATACTGATAAGCATTTTAGCTTCTGGACAGATCAAAGCTTAATGAATACACAAAAGGCCCTCGTGGTTGGAGATGGGTCAGCAGTCTATCCTTATGAAAGGTCTAAGTTCCAGAAACACAAGATGACCACAGATTAAACAGTATAACTTGCATTTTGTGGGCTAGATTACAGTCATGTTTTCAGGTATTATGAGATCTTCCCAGTATTACCTTCTTCTGATTGAGGCAAACATCAGATTATTACCTTCTTTCTGCACTGAAACTAGACCCAGGCAAAGCAAATGAGAGGCAAATTGAGGGAAAATAATTCATGCAATTATTTTCTGAGCATGAAATACAGAGATGACCAACTCCAGCATGGTGTTTAACTAGTAGCCATTTTTCAAGGAAAAATAAAATTTTAAATGGTGGGGAATAGCATATCTTTTCACAAAAGGCAGCTACCTAGACAGCATCAGTATTACCTCTGAAAACAAAAGGTTATTGAGTAAAAATGCTTGTGATTTTTATGGTACTTTTGCATTAAAAAAAATCTGAATTCTATAAATTGGATAAAGATGTTTTGTGTCATCTTGTATCATCTCCTTCACTATCTCAGCAGAATAAACATTGCCCTGATAGCAACAACAGAAAAATAAATTTTAGTGCAACAGTTTGCTTTTTCAGAGGACCTATGGGGAAAAAAACCTGTCCTTAAGCTGGAGCAGAAATGCAGATGCGGAAGGTTTTTTGTTCTGTGCATCCCTTCCTACTTCCTTCCCACCACCAGCCCTTACCTCAAAGGGGTCCTGATCTATAAACCTCCCATCATCTCTGTGCTCTTAGCTTCCTTTCTTAGTGTTCTAGCCACTGGTGGCCAGTATCTTTTAATAGGAATGCCTTTTCTTTCTGGGAAGTGCAGTTCCTCTGAAAAAGTGTGTCCATCTGTCAGGTATCTGGTGCCCATCTGTAAATGCTCCACCAGAAAGAGATTCCAGATAGCTAACATGCTCGTGAGCAAAGGGCCTGGTCAGCTGATTGATAGCTGTCATCCTTCCTCAACTGCCAGTGATGAAAAGGGTCAAACTCACTGAACACCACCACGTCCGGTTTATCCTCCCTGATGTATTTCTTTTCAGAGTGGGATAAAGCAATGTGGTCATTCAGCCTGGGCCAAGATACTCTTTCATACAGTATCTCCTGTGGTGGTTGTACCATCTACATACAACTGCTTAGTGGCAGTGGTATGTTTTGAATATCCACAAACAATTCCTTCAGTTGCTTTAGAGTGAGGTTTAGATGTTTGTAAGTCAGTAGTGCTCCTTAGTGATTTCCAGCAGAATAACAATAACAAGTTTTCCAAGTCAGCAGTAGGTGTGACATTCATGAAGGTTTTTCCAGCCATG